GGAGGGGAGGGGGAGGGAGGGAGGGGAAAGAGGGAGGCCCAACCCTAATTTCAGTCCCAATAGCTACTGTGAGCGCAGACCTGTGTGGTACTTGGGGCTTCCTTGCTGGCTGTGTGCTTGTTTCTATCCTTTGCCCACTGTAACCAGACAGGCATGGCTAGAACAGGACCTTCCCTCCCTGCGATGAGACAATGCCACCCAGTGGAAAGAGGCTGGCTGGGTTCTACCTCAGGAGTGACTTGGCCTCTCTGAACCTGGGTCTTGATTGAAAACTGGTTGTCAGCTCTGACCCCAGCCCCAGGGCCTTATTGAGCACTGGATGGCACATGGGGAAGGAGGTCCCCATAAACATTAGATCCCAGGGCCGGGCATGGTGGCACACGCCTTTAATCCCAGCACTCAGGAGGCAGAGGCACGCAGATCTCTTGAGTTCAAGGCCAGCCTGGTCTACATAGTGAGTTCCAGGCCAGCTGGGGCTACAGGGAGACCCTGTCTCAAAATGACAAAAAAAAAAGCTCCCATTCACAGCTTCCCTGACCGCTAGGCTGGTTCCAGGGATAGAGTGCACAGCTTCTAACCTTCGAGTCCTGCCCTTCCCTCTCACAAGGGGTAATGATTTGTCCTCTCTCTGGGCTTCAGTCTAGCAGTCAGGAAAATGGACATAACCCCAGCCCAGTCTGATACATACACAGAGGAAGATGATGGATGGGAAATATTTAACAAACACCGTGGTGGAAAGACTCAGCTCCTACCCTCAGCCCCATCTCCATTCCTAGGTCTCATAAATAGCTCCCGAGCTGAAACAGAAAAAAAAAAAAAAAAAAAAAAAAAAAAAGAAAAAAAAAGTTCCCAACCCTGCACACACAAAGAAAGGCTTCGTCCCCACACCCCAGCCTGCTGCCTCCAGGGCTTGTAACCCAGTCACCTGCCACACCTGTGTGGGCCCAGACCCCACCCCACAGCTCCATTCCAGGGGCCCCTGAGGCAGAGGGAAGGTTTCGCCTGTGACAAGGGAAGCTTTCATGGGCAAGGACAAGGATCTCTGGGCAGTCTCAGGCTGGGGTGCTGCCAAGCCTCTACCCCCAACCTTATGTCCTCCTGAGGATTTGAGGGGCTTGGGGGGGTGCTGAAAGGCAGAGGAGAAGGCCACAAGAGGAACAAAGGGGCTCCTAGCTCCAGGCTAAGCAAAGCCAGGGAAGAACAGGCCTCTGGGGTACACTTTTACAACCAGCCTTATGATTTGGAGCAAGCTGACTTACTCTAAGAGCCACAGGGAAGGCTGGAGGCCTTCTCCAGCACTGACAAAAAGTAGGGCAGGGCAGTCAGCGTTCCACAGGCCTCCCTAAAAGACTTCAGGGGGAATCGGGAGACAAGGGTCCTTCATTAGTACCCCTCCTGCACAGGCCCCTGCCATCTGTCCTGAGAGCTCTGAGAGCTCGCTGCACCCTTCAGCCAAGGCCTTGCTTTATGGGCCCCCTGTTTACCTTGACTTGACCTCAGCTCTTGGCAACTGAGCTGTAAACCGCAGGGGTAGGACTGTACCCACCCAGGGGCAGAGCTGTACGAGGAAGCTGCCGCTTTGTTCCTTTGCAGGCCCAGGGCAGGTCCCAGAAAAGCCAGATTGGGGGGTTCTGTGTGGGAGGTCTGGGTCACTGCTGGGTCCCATTCCAGGCTCTGGGCCCAGATAGGGACTGGTGGGCGGTGTTAAAGTGCTTATACAGGACTGCCCTAGAATGAATGCGTCAGTACCTGTACACAGACAGACACGGGCAGGGTTATCCTCTCCAGCGTTGCTTTAAGCAAAATCTCTGAACCCCAAAGCCCCAGTGTGACTTAAGTAGAAAAACGACCAAAGGGTACCCCTGTCCCGAGCCTTCATACAGAGGAAAACTAGCAGAAACAATGTCAACTCCACAAGACCACCTGAGCGGCAGGCAGTGGCTATGAATTAGACAACTTAAATTCTAGCTCTGGCTGTGTCATACAACTGCTATGTGGCCTTGGCCAGGTATTTAACTTCTCTGAATCCATTTCCTATAAAACAAAACTCATTCTACCTCTTAGGGCAATGGCACAGAGTGGGTATTCAATGTGCATTCATTTCGTGCACACTCCCCAACCGAAGGCAGTACAATGAAAAGAAAACTAAGTCTGAAACTGTTTAAAATCCCACTTTTGAGGCTGAGGAGATGGGCCAGTCAGTGAAGTAGCTGTTGCTTGAGCATCAGGACCCGAGTTCAGATCTCCAGCACCCACAAAAAGAGCCGGGTGTGGGGGCATCAAGATGGCTCACTGGCTAAAAGCGCTTGCTACCAAGTCTGGCATCCTGAGTTCAGTCACCAAAACACACATAGTGGGGGCTGGAGAGATGGCTCAGCAGTTAAGAGCACTGGCTGCTTTTGCAGAGGATCTGAGTTCAATTCCCAGCACCCACATGGCAGCTAACAACTGTCTGTAACTCCAGTTCCAGGGCATCCAACACCTTCTTCTGGCTTGCATGGGCATTGCATGACAGGGGTTCACTTATATACATGCAGACAAAATACTCATACACATAAAATAAAAATAAATTTTAAAAAAATTAACACACATGGTAGGCAAGAACTGAAAGTTGTCTCCCAACCTCCGCACACATAGTGCCACACGTGTGCACACACAAACACACACATACTGCTGGGTAAAGGCTTTCCAGTGTGCATACCCTCAGGTCATATATACACCTCAGCAACCCCTCAGTTATGTCGGTAAGTAAGCTCAATAAATTCATTGGTTCCCCAGTAAAACTTTAATCAAACATTGGCTTGACATTAGAACCTTAAAAGGGAATAAACATTGCTTAGCATCTCCAGGAAAAGAAGTCTCACAACAGATGGAAAATTTATTTGTTAATGCTATTATGTCTCATAATTATTTTAGAAAAAATGAAAAAGCCTAAGCAAGTGGTGAAAGTCTGTGTAGGTCTGCTATGATATATAAAGGATGAGACAAAAATAATATATACATAATCTTAAATTTTCTATGGTCATAGTTTAGTCAACTAGTTTAAGGAACAAAATATATATCTACTCAAGGTTCGTCTGAGAATATTTGGTCTTTTACCCAAGCCTTAGCTACATAGAACATGATAATTAAAAGTACCAGACTGGTAGAACTAACCTTATTGGATGTTTAACAGCCATACTTTGAGGCCTATACTAATGTGCTCAGAGGGACTTAAAAGACGGTTTCTGCCCCTTGCTGTCCAAGGTCAGCTAAGGTCAGGGGACTATGTAACATCTCTCAAAACGTCCTGTGACTGTGGTGAGTCACCTCTCCTCTTGTTCAGGGAGGCCATGGAGACCCCACAAGATGGACTTGAGCCAGTGTCCAGTCTACAAAGAGGAGGGTCAACTCAGAGGAAACATCTCATTCATGATTCCAAGTGAAGCCAGACATGGCCAAGCAGGACCTTTGACTTATCTTCACATAGATGGAACTGGTAAAAGAAAGGAGCCAGGAGCTCCTCCCAAGCCCATGTGACCCCTGAGGAACAGATCCTCAAACGACCTTAAGTGTAAAAAGAAATCAATTTATTTGGGCCAACTGTATGGTCTTAAACACCCAAAAGTAAATTTTAGTTTTTTTTTAATGTGAGAAAATGTAATGCTGATCCTGGAAAACATAAACTGAGTTAATAATTAGAGCCATTAGGCTTAAGTCTACATTATTTCTAACTGATGATTTTGTTCCTAACCAGAAAGTGCTGCTCAGATGTAAGACTTCAAATCTTGGTATCCAATGCTATAGTGCCCACCTGTAGCTAAGGGAAACAACAAGCTATTGTTCTAAAATGATAAATGTTTTCTCCCCCTCTATCTAGAAGCCTTTGAGAGGGAACTGACACTTATTCTAACTACTCCAACAGCTATCAAAGTGCCTGAAAACAAATCCTGAGTCCATCACTCTCGAGTCCAGCC